CTATATATATATATATATATATATATATATATATATATAAAGAGGGATTCCTTCGGCCTCAACTTTATTGCTGCTGAAACTCCGTTAAACAGAACAATCAGGACATACGATTGGAGTCAACCTCCGGAGATATTGCACGCTATGAATTGCTATCGTTATGGGAATTACCGAGAAATAGTCACAAATTGTGCGAATGCACAACCAGAAACCTAAGGTCTAACTGGTCAGATGATTAAGATAGCAAAACTCAAGCTTGCGGTAGATTTGTCACAACTGAATGAAAATAACGTCTGTGTCTAACCCAGTTTTATCCAGCCAGACAGTGAGTAATACTCAATATGGAGTTGTCTAGTTTACAACGTCCACTTAAGCAAACTCGGCATCGTTCAGCCACTTGTACCTTGTACATATATAAAAGATTCACTCCCAGCAGACCCCTCCAGGCATTTTACCGCAGAACCCAGAAATCTTGTGCATATGAACCCTTACTCAACTTGAAGTATGTTATACAATCCCACGACAAGGGGAAGTGCCCAATACCACTTGCAATTGTAGAAGTGTAATAGGTGAATCTGCAGTCTAACGTCAGCATTACAAGTATGAAATGCGTCGGTACGTCATTCTCTTCACCAAGATCATGAACACTAATGTACCAGCAGTGGTCACTTGAGTTCGACTGCTGTGTGCAAGGCTACTGAGATGGAATGGGCGAGGACGTAAGCAACACAGATTTAGACAAGGGATAGAAAATAGCAGCGTTTCGATCACCGTTTTCTTGTATTTAGCGTATTAGGTGGCGGCATGAAAATAGCCCCACTGGCACAGGTTACGTGTGAACAATAGGACACTGCTAGGGTGCGCAAGCCCAGGAAGGAGGGTGAATGGAGTATTCACCAAAAGCGTTTGACACAAATTCCTACACATGGTTATTAGTAAGAAGCCAAGCCAGTTTACAGAGTAAAGCATCTATTAACAGGAAAGCTTGTTCGAATCTTCATATATTTCAACAACAAGTCTACGCGTTCACCGCGAGCTCGGTTCACTGGCCGTACTTCGGACTCAAATTTATGGGTGAGTCTGTCTACTAGTTGCTTCATCAGCAAATTACACACTTATATAAAAATCTATCATTTATTCGACTTTGGCAACAGGGTTCTTTTTAGCTATGGATGCAAATCCACTGCACCCTTGCCACAAGGCCGAAGATTCCACATCTACAGTAACACTTTTGGACGAGTACATAGTTCCTTGAACCCTAAATGTCATTGGACCATGGGACTCACACTTCAAAAATCTTTGAAATTCATTCCGATGCTAAGCGATACCCAATTCAATGACCCTTATGTTCTATCCTCTCATTTGCACCGGTATATTTGTGAAACTGAGGGTTAGTAACTGTAGCCAACCACAAATCAACTTAAGACTGAAAGCCAAATAAAAAAGCTCTGACTAGAACTCAAAATATGGTGAAACCAAGCATTTAGTCATGCAGTGGACGGACTCAGCGGAATTGCTTGAAAGCACAGTTAAAACGATACAAAAATTCCAATCGTGTGCTTATTTGCTTATCTGGAAAATGTGTCTTATACGTGTTGCTGACACGACCGCTTTTATAAAATGGCGTTTCATAGGATCTGACGTCGACCCTATAAGTTAGTTCATCACAAGTAGGTTGTAGCGTTTGCTTTCCTTCCGCTGCAAACATTGTGGTTTGTGAGGTAAACGAATTACTCCTATTTCCCTATATCTAATGATCCACGGTTGTCCAAAGAGTACCAACTTCCTGGTATACGTGATCCGTTCTTGCGGTTTCATTGGTGGTTGAATGGAAATGTAAACCTAGCCGTTGCACCTAATGCATTCGGATGACTTCACAAACGTAAACGTAAGAGCGGACCTATAGGTCCTGCGGGTTTGGGTTTAGTTCTACGCCAGAATGGATATCGAGTAATATGAGTGACTGGATTCAGTAAGGATGGTACGGTTCGGTGTGATTTGGTCTTTTATTACTATGCACACTAGGTAGCCAATGAGCTATCCATCCACTTGTTCCAGCCAAGGACACAACAGGAACAGTTGTCTGTCAGTGTCATTACTTAGCCTCTCATGTGACTTCCAGAATGGATCAGACGTTGATAACACCCGGATATACTTGGAGATCAGTGGTCTTGAGTTAATTTATTCGAGCATAGTGACCGAATGCCTGAAGTGACCAGCATCATATTCTATCCCTTCGATGAAGACAATGTGTGATGGCCACCTGAAAATCCAAGCAAATTCTATGCCCCGCTAACTTAAATTCCACATGAAACCATCTGTTGAGAGACAGGAATCAGTTAAGCCTGTTTCCTAATCAAGATTCAGCATAGTTGAGCAAATGTAACTGCTGCATACTCTCGGTGGCCCCGAAAGCGATACCATGGCTTTTGAGCGCAACGTTTGTCTCTGAATAATTGCACGCTTCATAACGTATAGCACTTACAAGCACCACAAATTCGCTGGCAGATGGATCAATCCCAGTGCACCAAACCCTTCATAGAGGTTCTGGTTCACACAACTCCAAAATGAAAGCGCTCTTCATTAACAACAGCCACTGCTACCACCGATATTCATTCGGACGAGGTGAGTAGCATTACACCTCGTTACTAGTCAAAACGGCAAGAGTTTAAACGCCCTACCGAACTTCTAACATACCTAACGAGTGATTGTAGAATTCGGCTGTGTCGCTGGAACCAAGTCGACAGAAACAGCTCAGGAAGTGGTTTGAAGTACTCTTATTCCTTGATCTCTATTGTGACGTAGCTCCATAAACAGACCAGCCAACCCAAAGGCGACAGATAATTTAAATATGTTCGGATTGGGCGTTGTAGGTAGTTACTTCACAAAAATTGCGGATGCTACGACCAAATCCATCCAAATTTTCGACCATCACCGTCCGTGCTTTCCTATAGAACGACTGGATTTCTGTTGCTTGCGCAAACCTTTCCGTGGTAGCCAAAAAATTAGACTGATAAACTCATTTATTTATTGATTTTTAATTTTAATTTATTAATTTATTTTATCCAGGCTACTGACTCTTTTTCTTACAATCTTGAATTTCTTCTCTCTGTTAGGGACTTTCGGGTCAGGAAGTGCTTTATTGAGCTTAGACCAACAGCTCTGACTAACATCTCGCTCGCTCCAAGACAGATTTTTCGCTTTTACCGCAGCTCTATCTTCCAGTAACTGTCATACGAATGTTCCTTTGTTAACGCCCAACACCCTTTTTGGTGGGTTCTTATTTTACCTGAGAAAGTTGTATTTTTTCTGCACAAAGTTTATGGTCGACGCTAGATAGCAAACGTTGGGGACGAAACACGAAAAGCATCAAATTTATCGCACCGCACTGACGATAGTCATATAAAATTGAGTTAGATTTTCGGGCGCATTACGCGCCCGAATCAAATCTGAGTGGGCTCATAAAATTTCGTTTTGCTCGCCCGAATCAATCTGAGTGGGCTCATAAAATTTCGTTTTGCTGCGCTATGACTAGGTTAGAGAAGTCGCCAAAATACTTATTCAGTTGTGGCTTGTTCGTAAAACTTGGTGGCCGTTTCACACACGCACGGCAAATGTGCAGTCGGCGGGCGGCAACCAGGGCCATCTGTGACCAACGCCTAGTCCTCTTTCTGCATTTTTCGGTCAGGAGGCAGCTTCCAAACCATAGAAGTGGTGAAAATATTCCGATGACCTATCGTCAACACGAACGATGCGTTCGAACGACGAACCAAAGTCCTGCGAGCCACCACGATCGAAGAAAGTGTTTAAAACCAGGAACAGCGTGAAAGAAAGTTTGTACAATTCGCAAGCTCACACAGGTGAAACCCAAAAAATCGATGACTAAGTATGTAACAGAAGTAGCAGCACGGAAGTGTGCTGTGAACAGGATGGGATTACAAAGACACAAGGCGTGTGAAAGAGACAAAAACTACAAAAAGGGCTCACTTGCTGGCAAGAATGACAATGACAGTAGAAAGGCGCCAAATGAAAAGAGATCGAGGTTGATGATCAGTCCTTCATTAGGGTGGGCTAAACGGGCAAGTATGCACCTGGTCATGGTGAATTCAGTTCGCGCGCAAGCAATCGAAACCATGTGTTATGCAGGAATACAAATAGGCAATGATCACTGGCCCATTGAGTAAGGCTACAATACGAAAAAATGAATTATCCGAAAATAATCACTGACTTCATAGACCAGTGCATCACTCTGTCTGTCTCTCTTTGGGTTGTTCCGTCTATTTGCCTCCGCACGCGTGTGCAAACAAGAACAAATAACGAACAAACAGACGAACAAATGCCGTTTTGCCGATTTTCAAAAGGAGCATATCATGCAATCAGACTGGTAGGACAAACGCATAGGCCGCAGAGAAGAGACGATTCCCCGGTTGGGTTCGAAATATCACAACAGCAATAAAGCCGATTCGAACAAGATCTGAGGAATGATATTTAGGTCATCAGAAGCGCACCAATGTCTACATTTGCGCAGGGGACGGGGTGAAAGAACCGGGCTTACACAGGCGCCGAATCGCTCACAGAAGCAGGAAACTGAGAGACAATGTGGTGGGTTTTCGGTAAACGGATGAGGAGGAAATGCAACTGGGGACCGCAGATGAAGTGGTCGAGTACAGCAGGTGAGGTGCGGAAGAATCGACGGCAAGAACTTTTCGGATTTCGGTAAGTCGATCGCACCTGACGACAATAGAGGCCCATCACTGTTACGATCACGAGATCAGTGTGTGGAACTAGGGATGATGTTCACGGTAAGTTCCAGTAAATCACGCAGTTTGCTTCGTTTCGTTGGGTTGCTCTGAATCCCCCAGAAGACGTCTTCGTTCAGCTAGCGGTGAGCCACTAACCACAAGGGACTTAGTCCCCGAAACACAGTTGAGGATGTCATGGTTGGATCGACCCTCAGACCCAGATGATTTCACTTCTGAATGCACATCCACGGAGGAGCTTTGATGACTCTTTGGGCTTTTTTCCAACATATTTTGCGCCATCTTCTCAACAGGTTGTTTTTGTACGGTTAGGGGGAAATATATCACACCGGTTGGGAGTCCTTGTGTGGCTTCTGGAGGGATCAGTACGGACGGGGGTGAAACCGAGAGACTAGGATTCATATCAAGTTTTCTACGCAACGCAGCCAGAGATTTCTTCACGCGCATTGCTGGCAATCTGGCCGTTGGACTAGCATACCAACATTCACTCATGACATCTTGAAGTGCAGCGATCACTTGGTGATTCGACCATACTGTTGGTAGGACTGGGCGCAGGCCCTGTTCACAGACAATGGACTTCATCTCCTCCACGGACGGGTCTTGCGACACCAGATCCTTGAAAATAAGAAAAATATCGTGAAGTGAGCAAAGTTGTACCATCACAGGTATAACAAACAAACAAACATGGTACGTGGCAGCAGTGAGCCTAGCAATCCGAGGTGTGAATAACAGCTTCTAATAAAATGGTTTATGTGTGAAACGTTACAAAAACTACGTCTCAGAACGTGTGCTCCCTCTCCTCCCCCCAACCCGGGAGGACGTATCTCTAAAATGGGTACCACGTTGGCCAGCCCATGCGCTCTCAGCCTGCATAACAGTAGTGTCAGCAAGTTCATGGATAAACCAAGTACAAAGACCATCCCACTATACCATTGATCTATGATATTAAATTGTATCCAAATCAGCTGATCACCTTGATCGTGTGAGGTTGTACAACTGGATTCGCATACGAGCGTAGCCCTTGAACAATAAACATGTAACAAATGTGAGAAGTGCTGAATTGGCGAATCTTCATTTTTGTGTCACAAAGACATCTTTTTTTACCATCTTTCTAAAAGCCATTACTGAGGTGAATCCTCTCCTGACAAGCCGTAGGCAGTGCACATCCGCCCAACAGTTGGGTAGACTTCCCTTACAGAGAGTGAACATTTTTCCAATGATAGTGAATTCTGGTGAGTCCACACCAGAGGGAGAAAGGGAAGGATGTGGGACGACTGTTCGAACGAGAGCGGTATGGGTATGGACAATACATGTCCCGCAAACCCCACAACAGTACTGTGCCAATTTCACTAGTCAAATTAATTTATCTTCGTTATGGCCAGTCCGGGTGCTCAGACGTCAAGCTCTCTCGGTTGCCACTGTTCGCATTTGTGATGCTGACTGATAGGCTTAATACACAAAATTGCCATACAGTGATGGACAACCCGGCTTGCGTGCATTGTGGAAAAACACGAAATCTGCCTCACTGTGTGGACTTCAGGGGGTTAATTTGGTTGTTCTAATCAATGTTAAGAACATGTCACAGTAGTGTTGCGCTGCGTCAATCGAGGACAGCTCAGTCCTATGGCTATCAAATCACTTGCAAACGCCGGAGTTTTAAGATGATTCGGTCATGGAAAAGAAAATACTCCAACCAATCACAGCTCAGTCGAAAGACGTTACAGGAAAGCGAACAACGACGTTGTTGGAAATTAATGCAGCCACACAACTTTTCCGTTGCCGTGCGCTTCTCAACTGGACATAGGCGTCTATGAAGTCTAACAGAACAAACGAGAGGTGAAAGGCGGATCTCCTACAGTTGAATTAAGTTTGACTACAGGGCCCGTATGGCAGCTTTGATATTCAAAGAACTCAGGGTTATACATTCTACTGCAGACGACGTTCTTTCCGTGACAAACAGACCACAGTAAAGCCAACAAGAACTCCCAATGAAAGATGAAATATAGATAAGGATGGAAACAACCAACTGATCCCAATATAACATTACTGATTAGTCGCTCGGGGCTAAACACTTTAGTCCGGAAGGTTCGAGTTCGAATTTCACTGGAGATCCGTGAGATACGCACTGCTTATGATTTCCAATAAGGATGAAACAGTTTCTCCATTGTAAGACTAACGGTAACTTAGTTTTCATGTGGACGTTCAACTTTGTACACAAATTGCCCGAAAATTAACTATTTTATTCAGAGATCGAAACTCCATGGATTTCGACTTATAGGACAAATTGGGCACCTCACAAAGGACCACTGTGAATAAGTGTCACAGATGGCTCTCACTGCAAGAGGTGGCGATGTACACTAAGACATTGGATGTATTGCGTTCATAGACCTTCATCCTGTTTTACTCCCTAACTTGAGGCGTCCTCCTAGTCCCACAGCTTGTGTGGCAGTTGATCGGCGACGGAGAGCATTTATGTGATATGATGGCAGTCATAATGACCATGAAAGAAAAATCGTTCAGCTGTAACACCCTTCCGGTGTCTAGCTGCCATGCCACCCGAAGGAAGCACGAGGGCTGGGATACTACCAGGTTGTCCAAGCCCGGACAGGGGAAGTCGATAGACAGAGATCGGGTTCGAACCACCGACCTTCCGGTCAATAAATTCGCGCTCTAACCACTTCAGCCATTTTGCCTCCAATGACCGAGGGCTCAATAGGACTACGCTTCCAGGCATGACGCTTAAAGTTCAGTGTAACCAAACTTATTAACCGAAGGGCAAATTCCGATGCTTTGGTCCGAATTTTCAAAATGACACATGGGTAAAAAGTGGACAAGTTTGTTTATCGCGGATAGCTGACTCGCTTCTGCACAAACCGCCTAGAACACAACAGATGAAAGAAGTCATGCAGCACAATCGATAGGATAGAAACCGTCTCTAGTCGACAAACGGTATGATCTGTCGGTTCTCAGAGCGCGTGTCCACTGGCATATGCATGTCGCCTGCACGGCACATAATTCACAACCCGTGAGCAGTAGTGAAGGTAGTAGAATCAATGTCCAAAAGCACGTGTGAATGCACCGCCGCACACCGAGTGCCGCTCAGTTTGGCTGATGACGGTGTTGATCAGTCAATGTGGGCTGTGGCGACATCGATGTTGGACGTCCAGTTGCGAGCAAACAGACAGGGCACGCTAAGTTATGGTCTTTACAGCCGTGGTCGGGCGCCGTACACGTGCGTTTGCAAATGACAAGCAAAAGAAAAGGTGATAAACAGAAAGCGAAGCGCCAGCAGCTGGTTCCCTTGACAGCAGTTGTAGAACCAAATACGCACCGCTACCGCTAGCTGAGACAGATATCGATCGACCCACATTAGTACAAAACAGAAGTTAGCGTACTAAATCCTTCAAAGCGCATTGTTTTTTCCAACATCTCAGCTCTACCACAATGCAGGTGCCAGTAATTTTGCACGGAGACGGTCGAACCGATGCAGTGGCTGGTATTTTAATGTCACCCAAATAATAAGTGTAAACGTGGCATCGAACACACTTTGCGTTACTATATGACGACTGTCTCCTGATAGGTACGAAATGCTGACTGAATTGCCGATAGTTGGAGTATAACACAATCTGGTGATGTCACAATGCAACAGGAGAATCACACCTCGAAGGTGATGCCCACTGGATCGATAATGAATGGTCTAGATATCAGATGTAACAACGGAGCGACGCTTATCACATGGGTATAACCTAAGACAATGTGTGGATGAGGAAATCCAGAGTCGATTACGAGATCCAGTCGATAAGGAACCGAGACCGAATGTGTATTTTTCGGAAAAGATTAGCAGTGCCCGGAATTCTGAGAATAAAAGACTTATCCGTTCACCATTTCACAGGATGACCGATGATTCCGGGCTGAAGAAGCTGGAGAGCTTCAATATCTGTGTCAGAAAGGCACGACGACTGTTGCACTCCAAGCCTGTAACGATAAAACTACGAAGACTTGACTCAATCCACATCCACACTTTGCTAAAAAAAAACCTGGTGACAGACACCCACAGGTACATAAATTTTTTTTCAGATTGAAGGCTTCTCACGTCATTATTGCTGAAACGTATACGCAACTTTCATAGAAATAATTCTAAAGCCGAGGTGACAGGATAGTGGGTGTTGCATGTACGACCAAGATCCGTTCAATCATCGATAAGTCTGCAGGTCACGAAATAGTCCATCTGGAAGCAACACAACGAAAACGAACGCTCACTCGGGGTCGGTTTCGGCCAACATAATTCGAAAAGTGTAGGTACCTACTTGGTCGACTCATAATGTATGCATGGGAAGATAGCTGATTTTTTATAAAAAAAGAACCTGGAGGCCTGTGCTTCAAGGCCACGAAGTGTTGCATCGTGGAGCGTCCCTGTCGAAAATGGTGCTTCAAACCGCGCGAGTTCCGGTAGGAAAAAAAAGTTGGACAATGCTTTCATTTTGAGTAGCGGGTGGCTAGTCAGCGGTTCTCACGTACACATGGCATAGTGCTGACGACCAGTAAGTTAGGGCATAGTGCCGCTGTCAATGAATGCATATCGTAATCAGGAGGGGCAGAAAAGGATCTGCCTCATTCTATGTTCACGGCGCGCACTAACCAGTAGACGATTATTAGAAAATGTCCAGAACTAGCTATCATTCAGAGTATTCCGTGTTCATCATTACCTAACGGGGAAAACTTCAATATTTGTTATTGAGGACCCATCGCTACGCTCCACTACGTGCCCTAACAACGCACTGATGATGTCTCCCCGGTTGGTGACGAAACGTTCGCAATCAAAGTAGCCATCTCAGCTAACAGATCAATGACAAAAGCGTCAATATCCCCATTTCATGTCACATTTTATCCTTATAAGCAACATTTACTCGGTACACAATCTTATACACCATTGAAAGGTTTGTTTCGTCTATCAATCTATACTTCACGTTTTTGTATGCTTAGATCCAAATGGCACCTTACCAACAAGGTGAGCACCAAATAACACTCTCTGCTTCTGACGCAGAGAGCTTTAGAGACCTCAGTGGTTGAGGGGCGAGCTTACCGACCGGGAGGTCCATGGTTCGAACCCAACCTCTGCATCTTGTCTGCTCCTGTATGGGTTTGGGCAAACTGGTAATACTTCAGCCTGCGTCGCAGCGCATCGTTCAGCTGCAACACCCTTTCAGTGCTTAGCTGCCATTCCACCCGAAGGAAACATGAGAGCTGGGATAGTGCCATGTTGCCCAAGCCTAGACAGGAAAAGTCGAGATGCAGAGGTCAGATTCGAACCACGGACCTTTCGGTCAGTGAATCTGCGCTCTAACAACTAAGCCACCCCATCTCAGCCCTCGTGCTTCCTCAGGGTGGTCTGGCAGCAAGGCACCGAAAGGGAGAACGATCATAACGCGGAAAGTTAAATACGACATTTGTAATTGGTACTGGTTTATTGTTCACTACGGCTCTCACGTATCTCAATAGAACGTGTAGATGGATGATACCAGGCTACCATTTCGCTGCTTCTGCAGGAGCGTAGCCTATCTATGCCCTAGATAATAACGGAATATCCCACAACCTCTCAACTGATTCATTCTATTATTTCTATGGCAGATAGATTTGATACCTTTTGCTTGTTTGCTTGTCCTGGCATTGTGGTGAAAAGGTTACCCATGAAGATGCAGTAGCGATATTTCTTTCAAGCAATAATTCTTTTGCACACACCATATCCGAACAATGGTTCTGCTCTGCGAAAGGACTTCGTAAGTTTATCTTCCAAAATCAGCAGCAGCTGGACATCGTGGGTGAAAGTATCAAGGATCGGTTGACATGTTAAGACTCACAAGCCATCGTGCTCGTGGTTAACTCCGCTCTAGTGACCCAGATTTTCGTTTTTCTTTTCATCTGAATGCGGGTCGCTCTGACTAGAAGCACTCTTAACATCAGTCCTGCAATCTAGTCGTGCGATGACTCATGTGCTGCAGATATTGCGTCCACATTCATGTGGTGCCCAACAAAATTCGAGGACCAGGCCACCGTTGACTTGTTTCACATGACCGATGGACCTCGTTTTTGGTAGCACGACGATTCAGATGTGAACAGGCGTCACAGATGAGTCACAGGGCGAAACTATTTACTGTGGTCGCATCCCAAACCAATGGTATGCCATGGTTTATCTAAGCCCCAACAACACCAGGGAAACTATTTATCCGATGATCCAAGTTGCGAGTTTCCACTTCATGTGTTGGGTGCGGTGTGCAGTATCCGCTCTTGTTATAAAAGCAGAAAAATTAGGGAAAACGGAAAGACTGCAGCATCGAGTGGGCGCCTAAGGGGCTGAACTTCATTCGGCTTATCGACTGTTTGGGCTCGTAAGCATCCATCGCCATTTAGCATGATTCGAATGGATTCTGGTGGATAAATTCAAAGACAGTCGAAATTAATACCTCAGTTGTTTCTTATTCATTTTCCTGTGTGGATGTGGAGTCTCTTGAATTTTCAAAGTCACATCCACGCTGCAAAAATCCATGCACCAGTTACTTTCAATATATTTCAACGTGTTTCCCATTGTTCGACAGCTAGTCTGGCTCATTGGAGACTATTTCCACTCAAATCTAGGGTCCAGATTTAAAATTCAACGGGGCCTACTGGAGGAGTATGTGTCCGAACGGACAAGTCCTAGTGACGTTATCGTTGACGATTAAAAAGAACCCGAGATACCACAAAAGGTACGGTTTATGTGGAGATGCCGATATGCACCTGAGCTGTCCAGTTTTCGTTCTATGCATTTTTCTACGTACCACTGAGAATATTATGAATTCCCATGGAAAGCGGAAGCTCCGAGCCAAACTACAACAAGGTGAAAAATTAAAACGGGTCCGAAAAAGCCTGGAAGTCGATGAAGGGTCAGGTTGTGAGTGGTCGTAAAAAATACACCATTATAAACACAACCTAAACCTGCCAGTAATATGACGCGAGAGCACGGTAAGAGGAAATAAAACCAAACTTATCGTTAACAGGATGGAAGTGAAAACACCAACCTGATATGGGAGTTGATACTCGTCGGGTCCGAATAGGCCGTAGACCCAAACTCGTTTCGTCATTTCCCAGAATATGAGGCCCAAACTGTAAATATCCGCTTGTTTGAACGCCTCTGGGGTGGTATGGCGGATGCTATTGTCCAGCACTTCTGGAGCCATGTACCGCTTAGTTCCGACACGATCCGAGTGGGCGGGCAGATCAACAACAGAGCTCAGACTTGAATCCAGTTTTAGTGCGAAACCCAAATCACCGATGCAACATTCCCCATCCAGTTTGACCAGGATATTTCTAGATTTCAGGTCACGATGTGCAATTGCAGGTTTACCCTGTACGTATGCGAACAACAAAGAAAACGGTCTTTTCAAAATGTACGAGAGCATCAGGCTTCGTGAGAGTAAGACACTGACGATTAACGCGAATTCGATACAGTGAGTCCGCCTTTCCAAGAGGAAGGGATATTTCTAACCTTTCCTGGGAAGTTGTTTCTCTTCAGTAGGACTGTAGTGATCCGAGTAGTAAATTCCAACCCCGTCTACTACAACCCCCTGTGAGCACAGGGGATCCAGGAACGAAAGTGACCAAATTCAATTACGGCACGAGTTGGTTAATCCACATGATTCTTGGTCTATTTGAAGGCTTTCACGGGCATTATGATCTAAGTCCCTCTAACAGTGAACAATACGGGGAGAGTGTGGTATACAAAGCCGAACCCGGTGAATGGATGCAAACGTATTCATTTAAACCAACTTGGACAAACCAAACCCAATACGTCCGTAAGGGTTAATAAGAGAGGTGTAGGACAGATGACGGTTAAGAAATAGAACTAAGGTCTAACGGATAAGTAGTTACGACATCACTAACTAATGGTTAGTTTGCACCAGAGGTGGCCAGTTCAGTCGTGTACCGAGAGCGCAGTAGCTCCAGCACACTTAATTTAGAACTGCAAATTAATTATCTTCCTCATTTCACACGAATCAACATGCGGGAGCTGCAGCCGTTATGCTACTGCCATAAAAGCTAGTGAGTGACAAACTGAAACCGATGTTGGAGATGACAGAAGGTAAGCAGAATAGCAGCGTAGAATGATGGAGAACGGACACAAAGTTACCTTTGAGCACACTCACATGGTGGTTGGGCTAATGGGGTAGCTGCGTGAGGACGATGGGAGCTCTAAGTTGAGGGCACCAGCGACTTAGTAATGGGGTTGTCTCCGCCAGTACATCTAATCAGTGATGTGGCGAGTCCCGAACTATGACCGCTACCATCTCCGCAGACCTTGCTGGTCAAAGATCTATTGTTAATAATGTCCCATATACATGGTGCCGGTATATGGTTCGACACGACCTCTAGATGAAGTGACCTAAGCATACGGGTACTGTACAAACTTAGCAGGACATGAGACTAAACTATCTCACACAGCAGCAATACGTTTTATATGGAAAGTACCTCTACTGGCAAGCAAAAGGAGTGTACAAGCTGTTGAACTTATGAATGAGAGCCAAATGCACGCTCGACGACAGTCTAACCTGACGTGTCTACGGCTGCGAGACGACAACGTCTAGCACAGCTTGATGGTTTACCCAATGACTTGCGTTAGCAACAGTTAGAAAAGAAACTTTTCCCACGCGTATTCGACACAGAAACAGCCTCTCAGTGTGCATGATTCAACTGCATTACGATGAGGCTGGTTCATTGTGAAAATCAGAATTCACAGCGACGATAAACTTGAACATGGAAAGGGAGAAAACAAATCGACGTGACGTAACGCACTTGAGTCCCGGTAATTTCCATGTGTAGATGAGAAAGACCGTTGGCGATCGACGCCACAGCACGAACCAGTGCGTGAGGCAGAAAACAGTGTTCATGCAAAAAGTCAAACAAAGAGCCCAATGGGTGGTATTCAGTGATTAGCCATAGCTCTGTTGAAAGCCCGTTGTCCTTGTTGTCAGCCGCGATGAAACCCAAAATGTTCGCGTGACGTAACATAACGGTCTGGTAGATTTCCGTCTCGCTATGACAAGAAAGTAAACAAGATTGTGAGTAATATTAGATCAAACCTCGGGCAGAAAACGCAAAGACAACTAAATTTTAGCAATCAAGGGTGATAGTTGGTGAATGAACAGTATTGTGTAATAAAGCCATTGTAAGGAGAGTTTTGAGTTCAGCAGCATGTAGTATTTTAATGTTGCTTCAAAACAGGATGTGGAAGAAAGTGGGATGACTTGAAGGAGCCAAGGGGAGAAACACTCAGTTTCGAAATTCATCCATTCCAACTAGGGCAACTCAGTCCCGTTTGATCCTCAGGCCTGGTATGCAACCGTCATCTGTTTGCTAATAGCTATCTTCCGCATGCATGCCACATGATCACACCCGTGACACCATTCAGACGGGCCTATAGAACAGGGAAGAGGTGAATTAAGGACGCTAGTTGACGGGTGAATGATAAAAAGATGAAGATTCGTTGAGAACTAAAAAGCTAAACAGCATAGTGATAATGACGGGCAACTGACAACTGTAAGTGTAGTTGAATGGTGTGCTGGTGGACAACCATGCAAACTTTCAGTCTTGCAGAACACCACTTCTATCCGGCCCACGCGGGATTCGATCTCGATTCAAAGGACCGGGACATCTTTTTACACCAAGACGCAATAGAGTAAACATTCTTATACTTAAAACATACTACAACCGGAAATCAGCCCACTTATGTCCGTCTGTATAGGGGTGGCGGGTCCGTGAGGTCAAAGGTACACCTAATGGAGTAGATCCCCCTAAGGGGCAAACCCCTGTAGACTGACAAATGGAATTTCCACTGGGGTTATGGACAGGTTGCTAACTGAGTCGAGCCACGGGGAGCACGACCCTGGGGGTGTGCGTCGTCTCCATTTGGGCCTTTTTCATCTAATACTAGCTAATGTCTGTCCTGCTTCATGAACTTGCAAGAGAACGGATTTAAACTACTGAACAGCTGACGGCAAAACATTGCGCAGTCAAGCTGGCTTGTAGGTACTAATCAGACCATAAACCGATTCACGTAGTCGCAAGGCGGTGTTAACACACTCATAATCAATCCACAAAGATAGCATCTCGCCCTGAATGAATAAGGTAGACCTGATATAAACACACCGAATAAGCATGACTGGCTAAATATGTATTCAAACAAACCCTGTAGAAAGGATAAATCGCACTTGGAGGCAAGTCAGTCATCTTACTGCGTGTCCCTTACTGAAGGAGTTTTTCGTGGGAAAATGAAATTATAGATAGAATTTTCATCCAGTACTTCAAGCGAGGTTTAGCATAACCCAACTTCGGATAGTATACCGGCAGGCCAAGCAGCGTACATAAATATGACAGGCCTCCCGTTCAGAGGAGGGTATCACAGTGTTACACAGGTGTCGACCTCATTGCCTTCATTGCTTGAGTCCAATGTTCTAAGACTGGATCCAGCACTAGTAACATGGACAACGAAACACCAGCACCAACTACAAAGGCCTTACAATCATGAAAAAAGGAAAGTTCTGGTTAGGAAAGATACGAGAAAGGCAGCAACTTGTTGAGGATATCAAAAGCATCTGAACATCAAGTTATGGCAAGACTGTATCAGCCGGGCAGCGTTTTCTCGATCTTCACTAATCTAACCCAACGCAAAGCATACTAAACAATCGACAAACTCTACTCTGGAACATGGTTCCATGTCAGGCCAAGCTTAACACACGAAGACGTGCAACCCCCATCGATTTTCGCTACCATTATTAGTTATGCTAACTGAAAAGAAACAATATATAGGGTGGAAATTCCAAACACTGAAACCGTGGAAGTACTAATTTATCTACTCTGCTGAAGCGTGAACAACCTTGTCATTGTAAATCAATGCGATAAGGTAGAGCACAGAGAAACGACGTCGAAGTAAAACACCCACACCCGAGAGAGAGAGAGAGAGAGAAAGAAAGATTGTAGGAACGAGCCGATTCTATCCAAACCCAGAAACATTCCGTCCATGAAAAACGTGACAATACCCGCACATCACATTCCTGAGCAAAGAAAAGCTTCAGGACAACACGCGTGCCATAAGCTTGCGCGTACACGCATGCATAACTACGCACGCACCTAGAAAGGAGGCATTCGTTCAACAGGAAATAACCGAAGTGGTAAAAGTCGCTGGGAATGTGTGAATTGAGAAGTGAGTGAAATGTGAACAACGCAGAAATAACCAAGGGCTATGTGAGATAACTCAGTCGATATAACCTAGTGAAAGTTAATTTTCGAGTAAACTGGAAAATAAATAATGGTCGATGACAGGTACGAAATTACGACACAAAACTCGGATGTGAATTGTTCAACTCCGAACGACCAGTGTGATTGAACAAGGTCGCAAAACTGCTGCCCTGAGTAGGAAAAGCTTGGTCGTTCATCAGGCAAAGCCTTGGGACGATTGTCGAACTGGATCTCGTCCTCTTTTCATTGCACATATGCATGCTGAAGGTTCAGAACAAGCCCAACAAGGTCGAATTAGGGGTGGTATGCTCTACGGATAATACTTGGGTAGGGTATTAGTACTAGGTTATGGCAGACCGCGGTTAATGGGACGAACTAACGGTTTGACATTAGAACAGCCGGGCCACCCATGTGAACGACTCGTTTCGTTCGAACTTCCATAGAATCAGTAACCACAAATCCACCCTGCGCCTCGTCTCCTTTGCTTTCCACCCGAATGAGTTGACCACATTGATTCCTAAAGAGAAAAACATCCGAATAACCCAGCCCCAAGCATCTATATGATCATGTATATAGTTATCCAGTGCTATCGATACTCGGTTGTAATACTCCAAGTATTGTTCGCACAGGTAGTTTGTATGGGCAGTGAACGTGCTGCATTTACCGTCACTTGCCACAATGATCAAGCGTCATAAGTGCCACTACCGATATACCGATGATAGTAGTACTATAATCACTACAGCATAGTAATATTGGTCGGAGGGTGTCACCAAGTTGTGACAACGAGCTGGAAAATGGGATGAAGCGACCCCATAAATTTCGAGTTCCCAATAACTGGCATCATTTTCATCATTTCATCGTGCACCATCAGTTCTTCTTTAAGCCTGACTAAGCGGCGCCTAAACAGACCAATCGTGACGACACTGACGCAAAGGATCGACTACATGTGCATAGGTCTAGCATCACGACACAACAGCACATGCACCGGATTCTAGGAGCGTTCAGTTTGGCTGAAGCGAAAAACCGGCATTTTGTGACCAGAGTCGTCGAATATACCTTTAACTAAGCATGAGCCAGGTGTGCATGGCGTGGGAATTCCTTTTCAGCAATTGCTTAAGTTAAGATTGAACGTTCTAATCGGGAGGACCATTTTATATTTTCCACAATTAAGTCCCCAAGTGGAAACACTATTAAACATTTATTGTATACAGCCAAACATATACACAAGACAGGAGCGACGCATCAACCATCAAGACCAATAGCATGTGAGGTAATAAAACATTAATATCAAAACTGTAAGTCTGGAGAAGAGAAAGGTAACTTACCGGAACCACGAGCATTCCTCACGGCTGGAGAAAATCTTAGCCGCTACCTGGTCACACTGCCACACACCCCTCCAAACTTCACCATACCTTCCCTCGCCAATCCGTTCTTCCAGTTGTATCTGACGTGCCACAGTGCGCTGAACTAGAAGAGCTACCCCCGAACCAGACCCACTACATGTCTCTTCAAGCAGTTCACGAAGCGTTGGGGCGACAGAACTTCCACCGGTGCTCGTAAACGGAGGTGCTCCACCGGGAGATGCTGAGTACGAGCCAGTATTCAAAGGAGTGAGTGTTGTAGCACCAACGCCACTACTGCCCATATAACTAAGGCTACTTCCCCCGTTCCCTGTACGACAGCTGTTCGGTGCCACTGCAGTCGGCAAAACAGCGGTCGTAGGTATGGATGAAAAGTTTTTGGCGTTCCCTTGAAAGCTGCTGGAGTCAGGAGTCACCATGCACTCAGCCATCAATTGACTGTGAACTGCTTCAGCGTCCCATTTCGATGTATTTCCACGCGGCCGACCTTGTCCAAGAAACAAAGGAGAAAGTGTGATTGTGATTGAGTTGAAGCGAAAAAGCCAAGTACACCTGATATCTAACATTTAATAGAACAAACGGATGATGCGGCATATTTATTATGAAAGCGGTCTCAAGCGACCAGTCTGGGATCCAAAACAAACCGGTTTCACAATGAAATAGCAGACAATACCCAAAAACTCGCTTAGTTAAACCAGCATTTCGCCTAAACGCTATCATAAGGCCCAGCATCAGATAATGAAACTCAACTGTCACACTGTCACCAAAATCTTCCAGTCATTTGGGCACAACTAACCACTTGGGACCTACAGTGTACACAAGTTTCACTCATACGACCCACTCAAGGGCCTAGCACCTAGTAAGTTGTGTCCATACAACGAATGACGGTAACAGAGATCCACTTCTGGCAACAGTGCTTGCTTAACACCCCAGAATGCTCAGTGTTAAGGCAAGTTGCTCCCAGGAGTAAATAAAACACAACGCAATGAAAACCAATGGACAACTCGGCAACCCGAAATGGAGCCTCTCAGTGGCGAACCACTTGCGAACGAGAGAAGCTATGGTCGGGTATCAACAAAACAGTTGAAACCCACAGTATGTGCACAGAATGTTGTCCGATACCCCGGCTAATCATGAGATGCACCCTAAGCATACATACGGCCAGCTAGTGTTAGATATTTGTCTACACAATGATAGTCACAGAAATCCAATCCTAGTACCGTTGTTCCGGAATATTCTAAACACTGCAGACATGGGGGAACAACCCAACAGTTAAACCCGATGGTGTCTGGATAGACTATAGATGTATCCTCCATATTTCTGTTACATGTATACGGTGGTACATCATTCGGGAACTTGCCGGAGTCACTGTGGCTGGGGATTACTGTAGGACAGAGTTAGCCCTAAGTTACTTACTAGTATACCTCTATGCGGGCATTTCCCTCAGACGTTGCGTTGCTTGACGGTTTCATGTACGGAGTTCGAAAGGATAAAGAATGGCATCCCATACAAATACTCATGCGTTGCTGCACATTTCAGCTTGGTCGAGGCGTTTCTAGTTTAACGATATCAGTAATCAATGGAAAGCCCATTTATGAACTTTCATTGGCTAAAGGCATGCATGTACCAAACATAATATTCATCGTTAAGACATTATCCAACGCGGTATGAGGGGCTAACTAAGAACCCTGTTACGAGTGTTTCGGTATTGTTCAACAGACATACATTTAAGGATGTCTTGAAATCATCATCATCATCATCATCATTGTCAGCTGTAAGAACCGCGCACTGGTCGTACACTGGTTGTAGCTGCCACAGTTTCGTTCACCGATGATTGGGGGGTAGGTAGCTGCGCATTGCACGCGCGAGCTGGTAAATTGGTGCATAAATCCAGCACTGTCAGTGGGTTGTCAAGCGGGGGGTGGGAGTGGAAAAGGAGCTATGCATTGAAGGCAATAGCTTGGATGCACGAGCGCCATTGAGGGCGCGACTGGGACATGTCTGATAATGTCTCTAGCCATTGATGTGGCCCATCTCGGGGTCCCCATCCAGGAAGACGGCAGTGACCAGCGCAGCTGAGTTTGCTGGTAAGGGCCTTCATACTTCGCTGCCAAGTCATTGTTTGACCGCCTCTGGCTCTCTTCCACCCTTCACATGGTTGGGCGAAAAGAGCCCTTCGAGGAAGTCGGTCGACTGGCATACGCAGCACGTGGCCAAGCCAACGCAACCTGTGCAGTGTGATCAATTCATCTATCGAGGGTGAGTTATTTCTCCCGAATACCATTCGACGTACTTCAGAATTGCTGATCCGGTGTTCCCACCAGATTCGGGCAATGCTCCGAAGACATCGATGGTCAAACACTGAAAGTCTTTTGACGTCCTCGGCGCGCAGCGGCCAGGCTTCTGATCCATATAGTAATATGGAGCGCACCG